GAAAGTCACTCAAAACAGCTCAACTACATGGAAACTGACAACATGCTCCTCAATGACTACTGAGTAAATAACAAAATTAAGGCAGAAATAAGTAAGTTATTTGAAACCAATGAGTTCAAAGACACAATGTACCAGAATCTCTGGCACACAGCTAAAGCTGTGTTTAGAAGGAAATTTACAGCAGTAAATGCTCACAGGAGAAAGCAGGAAAGATTTAAAACTGACATCTTAACATCACAATTAAAAGAACTAGAGAAGCAACAGTAAACAAATTCAAAAGCTAGCAGAAGTTGAGAAATAACTAAGAGCAGAGCTGAAGGAGATAGAGACACAAAAAACTCTTTCAATCCAGGAGCTGGTTTTTTGAAAAGATCAACAAAATAGAAAGATGGCTAGCCAGACTAAGAAAGAAGAAAAGAGAGAAGAATCAAATAGATGCAATAAAAAATGAGAAAGGATATCACCACGGATCCTACAGAAATACAAACCACCATCAGAGAACACTATAAACACCTCTACACAAATAAGCTAGAAAATTTAGAAGAAACAGAGAAATTCCTGGAAATGTACCCCCTCCCAAGACTTAACCAGGAAGAAGTCAAATCCCTGAATAGACCAATAACACGTTCTGACATTGAGACAGTAATTAATAGCCTAACAACTAAAAAAAGCCAGGACCTGACAGATCCACAGTCAAATTCTACCAGAGGTACAAAGAGGAGCTGGTACCATTCCTTCTGAAACTATTCCAAACAATATAAAAAGAGGGACTCCTCCCTAACTCATTTTATGAGGCCACCATCATCCTGATACCAAAACCTGGCAGAGACACAACAAAAAAAGAGAATTTTAGACCAATACCCCTGATGAACATTGATGCAATAAAATACTGGCAAACCGAATCCAGCAGCACATCAAAAAGCTTATCCACCATGATCAAGTGGGCTTCATCCCTGGGATGCAAGGCTGGTTCAACATACGCAGATCAATAAACATAATCCATCACGTAAATAGAACCAATGACAAAAACCACATGATTATCTCAATAGATGCAGAAAAGGCCTTCGACAAAATTCAACACCGCTTCATGCTAAAAACTCTCAAGAAACTAGGTATTGATGGAATGTATCTCAAAACAATAAGAGCTCTTTATGTCAAACTCACAGCCACAGGGCTACAGTAACCAAAACAGCATGGTACTGGTACTAAAACAGATATATAGACCAATGGAACACAACTGAGGCCTCAAAAATAACACCACGCATCTACAACCATCTTTGATAAGCCTGATAAAAACAATGGGGAAAGGTTTCCCTACTTAATAAATGGTGATGGGAAAACTGGCTAGCCATATGCAGAAAACTGAAACTGGACCCCTTCCTTACACCTTATACAAAAATTAACTCAAGATGGATTAAAGACTTAAGCCTCAGACCTAAAACCACAAAAACCCTAGAAGAAAACCTAGGCAATACCATTCAGGACACAGGCATGGGCAAAGACTTCATGACTAAAACACCGAAAGCAATGGCAACAAAAGCCAAAATTGACAAATGGGATCTAATTAAACTAAAGAGCTTCTGCACAACAAAAGAAACTATCATCAGAGTGAACAGGCAACCTACAGAATGAGAGAAAAATTTTGAAATCTATCCATCTGACAAAGGGCTAATATCCAGAATCTACAGGAAACTTAAACAAATTTACAAGAAAACAACAACCTCATGAAAAAGTGGGTGAAGGATATGAACAGACACCTCTCAAAAGAAGACATTATGCGGCCAACAAACATATGAAAAAGAGCTCATCATCACTGGTCATTAGAGAAATGCAAATCAAAACCACAATGAGATATCATCTCACACCAGTTAGAATGACAATCATTAAAAAGTCAGGAAACAACAGATGCTGGAGAGGATGTGGAGAAATAGGAACGCTTTTACACTGTTGGTGGGACTGTAAATTAGTCCAACCATTGTGGAAGACAGTGTGGTGATTCCTCAAGGATCTAGAACCAGAAATACCATTGGACCCAGCAATCCCATTACTGGGTATATACCCAAAGGATTATAAATCATTCTATTATAAAGACACATGCACACTCATATTTATTGCAGCACTGTTCGTAATAGCAAAGACTCGGAACCAACCCAAATGCTCATCAATGATAGACCGGATGAAGAAAATGTGGCACATATACACTATGGAATACTATGCAGCCATAAAGCAGGATGAGTTCACGTCCTTTGCAGGGACATGGATGAACCCAGAAACTATCATTCTCAGCAAACTAACACAGCAACAGAGAACTAAACACTGAATGTTCTCATTCATAATTGGGAGTCAAACAATGAGAACACATGGACACAGAGAGGGGAACATCACACACTGGGGCGTGTTGAGGGGTTGGGGTTAGGGGAGCGATAGCATTAGGAGAAATACCTAAAGTAGATGATGGATTGATGGGTGCAGCAAATCACCATGGCATGTGTATACCTATGTAACAAACCTGCACGGTCTGCACATGTACCCCAGAACTTAAAGTATAATTAAAAAAATAAAATTCAAATTAAAAAAAAGAATATGTTCTTACAACAAAAAAGATTTCACATAAATAGGAGTTGAGGTATTGCTCCTCACAAGAGGGCATTAGCTGTGGGGGTCTGCCTGCAGACCCTGACCCCAACGATGGATGAATAAAATGTACACTGACAGATATTATCTTTTGCCAGTCCTGCTGAGTGTCTGACCATCTACACACCAAGAGAGGTTTGTCACTGTGGCCAGCCCTGATCAGGAGGGAGACTCACATTTATTAGTTAACAAAAGCTTGAGTCAACGCCATTAGAGGGTAATTGTCATTGTGGACATCTGGAGTAAAAAGCACACATCAAAGGTTGAGACCACATGGGTAAACAAGCTAACTACATAACTTCCTCACATCCCGTTGTTTACTACTCTACTCTATTTAACTAAAGGTAATGGGACCAGACCGCCTTCCGCCAGGTCTATTACCCAAGTCATGTGAAAACCCTCAGGCCTTCCAAAAGGGTTTTGTGGCTATCATAACTAATATTTTTCCCACCAGACTGATCAAATCTCAACAAGGAGTTGTCTTGTTTCTTTAAATTTTGAGAAAACTCATAATTAAAGCCATTTAAGTTTTAGTTTGTGTGCATGTGTGAGTATGTATTTCACAGGTTTGAAAATAGTTACATAATCTATGGTGTAGGTTTTTCGTTACTCTTGATGAAATATAATAACCTTGTAAATTATCTTCATTAACATTTTTACTTTTGTTAGAAAAAACTATTCACAGAATTATATTCTATTTTCCAAACTTTATTCTATTAATAGTAATGACGACTTTGCTTTTTATTCTTCTTCACTGATTTTACCATGAGCTGCTCTATTTTGTCAGTTTGCTCTAAAAACAATCTATTGGTTTTGTTGATTATTTATTTTCAATCTCATTGAATTTATACTCATCCATGTTGCTTGCATTCCGTTTCCTTTTTACTTTTCTTAAAAATTTACTCAGTTGAACGCTTAGTTCATTTTTAACTTTTCTCCCTCCTATAGAAGCGTTCAAAGCTTCAAGGTCTCTTCTAGGTACTTCTTTGCTGCATCCCATATAACATTTGCTGTATGATGCTTTAGAAGTATGGTTTTTACACTTCTAAAGTGTGCGTGTGGAGATCTGTCATTGTTTTATTGATTCCTAATTTTATTTCCTTGTCATTTTGGAGTGAATACTTTTCTTTCTTGCCTTGGGAATTATTTTATTCATTGTAACTTTTGACCTTTCTTTATTCTTTACTTATCCTGTCCTAGCATATGGAATGTTTTACCTAGTTGATAAATTTAGGAAGATTAAATTGACAGAGCAGGTAATTCTGTCCAATTCTTGGGCTAAGTCATCTAGCCCATTTGGTTTTTACTGCAAGTATTCTTTTCCAACACTTTAAGCTTTTGTCTCCAACTTTTCGGTAAGAAAGGTGATATTTTGTCTCCTGCTTGCTGCTATGTCATATTACTTATTTCAGAACATAAGCAGAATTCAGAGTTGTTTGTTGAACCCCACACCCTCTACCAGATAGCATTTCTTTTGTTTTCCTTGAGTCTTCGCATGTTGTTTCCCAAACTATGACATTTAATGCTGTGATTCTTGAAGATGTCATATATTGCTTACACTGAGTGAATGATTCTATGTGTGCATACATTCACACAGACATATAAACATAGATGTTTATATATGTTCTAAGTAATATTTAGATTAAACTCAATTTTTACCAATAATTTGATTTATCCATTTGAAAAAACATAGTAAAATCTCTCACCTTGCTGTGAACTTGTCATTTTAATTTAATTCTGTCATTTGATTTAAATAAATTGAAGATATTAGACTCCTACCTGACCATAATTGTTATAAATGTAAAAATAATGTGCTTCTAATTATCTCAGCCTTCTTGAGCTCATAAAACTGGGAAACGTTTTTGCAAAACTCACATCTTATTTATGAAGGGTGGCAGGATTTTCCATCTTCCCAATCTTTAGGATTCAGAATCTTCCCCTTACTTTAGTTCTCAGCCTCAAGTGACATCTTAGTAAATTTTTAAATTATTTATTTATTTATTTTTGAGACGGAATTTCACTCTTGTTGCCCAGGCTGGAGGGCAATGGCACAATCTCGGCTCACTGCAGCCTCTGCCTCCTGGGATCAAGTGATTCTCCTGCCTCAGCCTCCTGAGTAGCTGGTATTACAGGAGCCTGACACCATGCCTGGCTAATTATTATTTTTTTTGGTAGAGTTGGGGTTTGGCCACGTTGGCCAGGCTGGTCTCACAATTCCTGGCCTCAGGTGATCCACCTGCCTTGGCCTCCCAAAGTGTTGGGATTATAGGCATGAGCCACTGCACCTGGTCAAATTTATTTTAACAGACTATTTTTTAAAATCTTATGCTGCGCTTAAGATAGAGTATATGAATGGTAGCACTCACCATCACATGATTTTGTTTCTAACATCTGCTCTGGGCACAGATGCTGATTCTCTAGTTCTTGTATAATCACTGCTCTGGATCGGACCTGTATTCCACCAAAGCCTAGATCCTCACCATTCACACAGGTCAGCTGACACAGGCTCCAGGAAGACCAGTCCTTCAAATAACAGTCACCTGTAAAACACAGGTTTGTAATTTACACCCATATCCACAGAGAAAAGCCAGCCCGATAATCATTTTAATTCCAACCCCAGTGGGCAATGTTTTTAGGTATCCCAGCCATACATAATATTTATAAGATTTAAATAGGCATTTAATATTTATAAATTTGTAATTGTATAACTTTGTATATATATTGTTATTTTCTGTATGGCTATTACTGGTCTATGTGTTGCTTAATGATATCAAAGGTAAACTGTGGCTGACAGGAGCTCATCCACTGTGATTAATCTCTTCTTAGGATACAAAAAACATTTGATCAAAACCTACTACCACTCTTGTCATTATCATAGTAAAGCGGTTTATTACACAGGAGGTACACTCAAAGAGAGCCTAAATATAAACAGACTTTGTCTTCTAGGTATTCACAATTTTCAAAAAGTTTGAAGTCCAAGGCTCACAAAGCTGGTTTTATGTTTCATTCCTATTTCTTCCCAGAAGAGTGGAGGTGAGAGAGGCAATTGAGCAGTTGCAGTACTGGAAATAATGCCCACTATTTCCTCTGATCTACATCTTCAATCAACTTCTCTTTAAAATATTTTACTGAAGGACAACAAATATGTAAAACGATCACATATCATAGATGCACAGATAGCTGAATTTTGACAATCTGATTATCTAACCATGTGATCAACACCCAAATCAAAGAACAAAACATTCCCAGGCTCTCAAAACCCTCCCTTGTGTAATATATGAAATCATACCATATGTACTTCTTTGTGTCTGGCTTCTTTCTCTCATTTATGTTTGTGAGATCCATCATACATTTATGAAGTTCTAATTTCTTCATTCTTACTACTTCCCATCATGTGAATATATCACAATTTAGATATCCATTTTACTATTGGTGGACATGTGGGGAGTTGTAAATTTTTCCTATCATGTTATTGCAAACATTTCAGTACAAGTCTTTTGATGAACTTATATATGCATTTCTGTTGGGTATGTACCTCGGAGTGCAATTGCTGGGCCACAGTGCATCCATGCTTCCAAAATCTTTAGCCATTTTAAGAACAGAAAAGATTTTATGAAATACACCCTTTCCATTAACCCATCCATTCTTCAGAGTGACTGCTTAGTGATACTCTTCAGAGTGCCCAGTCAATTATGATAGACACAAATTCACAAAGGTTTCTTATCACTTATTTATTCTAGCCAGGTCATATGAATAATTCATATTGCCTTATATTATGCTAAAGGTGACTGGTATTAGCATAAAGTTGCCTGGAGATCTGATTAATGGAAAAACTTCTTGTGTCATGCCTAAGAAGTCCTGGTAAGACATAAATTATTGACTAACATATATACACATAATAGTAAAATATAGTGATTTTTGTAGGCCTTTATTAAAGAATGTAATTGGTACTCCTGAAGTACAGAAAGTTCTAGTAAATTTTGGAAATGCAAAGGAAAAAGAAACTAGAAAGAATTTCTAAGTAGTCTGAAAAAGTTTTAGAAACACTTTTATTTCCTAGGAAATGTCACTTTGTGGTTACTCAGTTTTTAATTATGTAGGAAAACTGCTAAAGTTCAAAAAATTCCTGTCAACATGAATGTAATACAATTTCACCTCGGTGATTGAAAATTACATGGAAAAGAAACATACCTTTTACCAATAGGCTTTATCTTTGTGGCAATCCACATTTAGCATCATTTATTTTGCAACAAAACGTAATAAATCTTTTAATGATAGTTTGTGAGTTATGTAATTATCACCCCTAAGTAATACATGTCAGGCTTTAAAGTTGTAATAACAGCAAATGAGAGTGAGATACTCCCTTGTTCTAAACATACTTTTCTATTTTGACCATGTAAACCATTGTAATAACAATAAAATTACCCTATGCCTGCCAAAGATATGACAATTAAACACATGAAATGTATTTCCTAATTCAGTGTTCTACTCTTTAAAGCTTATTAGTTCACATATTGCTAGCTTTCAAAACCCATCATTAGAGAAAACTAGCAAGAGAGGAACTGAAATGAATAGATTGTAATTTAGAAGAGCAGCCTCTTAGATTTGCAATTACTTTAATTAAAACAATGTGTTTGCTCTGTTCTATGTATCATGCGATCCTGTAATTTTCCTTCACATCATTTACCACAGATTATAATCTTATGTTTATTTACGTCACTATTAGATTAGCAATTGTTCCCTTCCATTAGAAAGTAAGCTGTACAAGGACAGGGTCTGTTGGTCTTCACTGTATCTCCCGCCTCAAGTCCAGGGCCTGACCTGTAATTAACAGTCAAATGAGTGAGTGATTGTGCTGCAGGAAGTATATAATGAAATCACGTGGGGAGTATCCATAGTAAGGCATGCACCACTGTCTGACAAGGAAGCCTGTTCTGCTCAATGGTGTGGATGTCCTTGACCCTGCCTGGAGCTGTCACCTGCTGCCATAGCCTCAGGCTGGGTCTACAGTGAAGTGAAATGATTTTATTAAATTGAATTGTGTGTGAGATCTTAAATGGTATCAGACTAGTTTCAGCAGCAGGAAATGAAAGAGGGGAATTGCTGGATCAGCAAAAGGTTGTTGGCAGGTGTAGGAATGTCTGAACAGCAACACTTTGCCCGGCTTTAGAAAGTCAGATTTTCTGTTACTTTAAGTTTTATTTTATTCTTTTTTTTTATTGTGATAAGACCATGTAACATGAGATCTACCCACTTAACACATTTTTAGGTATACAATACAGTAGTGTTAACTACAGGCACTATGTCTTACAACGGATCTCTAGAACTTACTCACCTTGCATAGCTGAACCTTTACACTTACTGAGAAACAGCTGCTATTCAGATTTTTGGGTTTTAAAAATAGTTCAATTCTTGACCTGAAGTAGATGAAAATATCCATGTGTGCAAAGATCAATACAATAGTTGGATATTCTCAGAGTCTAGGGGGTTTGTCCTCAAAATAACCCCTATCAGGGTTATTTTATTTACTGTTTAATTTCATTCAGTTCATCTTAAACTATACCCTACCATTTTTATCATCTCAAATGATTTTTTTGTTTTACAAAGGAATAAGTAACTCGATGAGTGAATAAATAGCTAAAACATGTCAGTTTTTCCAGGTTTTAGGGACTCCATCCCATTTACAAATTTTTGTTAATACATGTTATCCACTTTTAAAATTTTCTTAAATCACATCATTTTATATAGAAAATGTGTTGTATGCCCCATTATTTTTGCCAAATCCTTAATTTTTAACATTTTGAGGTCAGATTCAAAACAAGATATTGTAAAAGAGATACAATTTTTAAATCATAATTATAAGCAAATTGGGAGAACACAAATTTTCCACCTGGGGATAAAATATAGGTAATTCATTTTCTATCTGTTCATTTCCAGTCCACTAATAAATTGTTGCCCCTATCTATATCTTTTTTAAGGATGGGTTTTCTGGCATATTTTGACATTAAATTTCCTCTACAATTCTCTGCATCAAGCCCAAATTCATAAATGTTAGCTTATCACTGTCTGCCATTTTTTCCATACTATTTGATATACAAAATTTTCTTTCTACATTTACTGCATGCACCCATTGTGTCTAACATTGAATCTGAAGAATATCTTTCAACAGTTTCCTCCATACTGCTATTTTGCCTTCCAGTTGTAGATAATCTGTTTTTTTTTCTTACTGAAGACTTTACTACTTATTTTTCTATATTTATCTAGGTATGAGTTTGTTGTTCATTCTACCCTGGACCCAGGGTAAGAGGACTTAATCTGTTTTTAGCTATTATGTGTTTAAACATTGGCCTCTCTTTCCCCATTCTCTTCTGGAAATCCCTAATAGGTTATGTTTTGTCCTTATTTTCTCAATGTTTATTTCATACCTTTTCTGTGGAGCATGGGCTTAAGGCCTTAATTACCATCTCCTGCAGATGTTAAAACTCCAGAGGGTGTTAAGAGAGGCCACATGGGAGACCTGGACTTCACCCCTACCTGGCAGTAATGAGACAGTGCCCTGTTCCCCACAGGCATAGTGTTGAGCTGTTGGCATAGATATTACTGAATAAGAAGACTGTTGACATCCTGTAACTTATGCTTTATATGCAACCCCTTCATGGCCCTTGTCCTAGGAAAAAATAATCAGAATATGAATGCTCTTTTGCCATGGTTACCTGGGCAAGGCTCGGTGCAGGTTTCCTCCAGAACCATGTTTTTATTACCATCTATAATGAGTTCAATGTCAGCACAGAATTCCTCATCCACCACTTTGCTGAAATCATCTGCTGACCCATCACTTACTATACAAGAAACGTTCCTTGTTCTGGTCCCTTCTCCACATTGGGCCTCCTGGAATGGAGGAAGAAATAACTAATTAGAAAAAGAGAAATACTTCATTAGAGAGCTCATCACTTAGTTATCTCTGCACCATTGACTTTGATTTATGAACATTTAGAAAAGCATTTGAAACCCTAGGAAAGAAGCCCTATAGGGCACTAGCAATAAAGCATACATTGAACAATTTATTTGTTTTCTAGCTAAAGACAGGAAAATAAATTTTCATTAAAATAAATCAGTCTTCAAATGATTAAAAAATACAGGGCAGGGAGTTATCAAAACTAATTAAATGGTTATAAAATGGCAAGGCACATAAAAATTTTAAGAAGCTTGTCATCTGTGAGCTCTGAAAAATATTTCTAACACATTATTTTTGTCTGTTTTTCTGCAGATAAAGTCTCTGCAGATAAAGAATACACAATTCCTTACAACTTCTTAAGATTTGATACCTGCACTTGGCATGGAGACCACTGGCCATATTGCCACTGATAACAAGGCTTCACTGGGCAGGGTTTGGACTGGTCCATCAGGGAAGGGCATGGTCTTCCATCACCTTGAAAGGGCTGTGTCACTGTTCGTCTTCGGATCATTTTTCCTTTAAGAGATACAAAGTGATGCAACTTTAATATATGTTATGGTTTTGCAAGCATATATGTCATTGGGAGAAGGCATCACAGTGGTATCTCCTGAGGCGATCCAGGAACAAGTAAGGCTTAGATGTTTTTGAAAGAAAGACAACCAATCCAACCTTTCTGAAGATTATCTGATATGGGTTAAAGCAAGAGGGATTTTTTATTTCATATTCCTTGACCATTAGCCTAATATGAGTTATAGCACAAACCAACCTGTGAGGCCACATGTTTGAGAGCATTCTGACCAAGGAGACCAATCAGAAAGCTGACAGTTCACAGGGCATTCCACCATGCAGGACGTGTTCATCTGCCAGTTCTTCTCCAGGCCAAGCTGGAAGAACAGAGGTAGATCAGGATGTTATATTGTCAACTGGGGGAGGGAGCCAGAGAATGAGGTGACAAGAGAGAAGAGAGGGAGGGAGAAAAAGCAAGCCACATAACAGAATAACATAGTACCTGGAGGACAAACATCCAAACTATTAAAAGTATAAAGTGGTTTGACCTAGGTGAGTGGAAGTTAGGGGTACAGGATGAAAGAAGGGGCCCATGTAATCTATACTTACATATTGTTTGAGTGTTTTCAATAGGCGATGAAAAAAAGTAGATTTAACCTCCAAATTGATTGAATTTCCCAAAATGGGGAACAAATAAATATAAGCAAAAATACTTTTCATTAGGTAAAAACTAATAATATCATCAATATTTTGATCGACAACTGTATCTTAGGGATATTATTTATTTTTACATATCTTAAACTAAAAAGCAAAAGGAAAAGTTTCTAACCATAAATTGATAGTCAAAACTAATGATATCATATATTGAAATAATACATCAGCTGTCTTTTAAAACAAGAAATATGGGTCGCCAAAGTTTTTTGTGATTATGACTATTTTACGTGCATTTTTTAAAACAAAGATTTTCACTTCTAAAACTCAACTGGTATAATTCAGTTACTTTGGTGTCAAACCTTCTCATCAGATAATAATGTTGTCCCATTTTATTGGCATTTGGGTTCCATTACTTATTTAAATATTCTGCCTTAAAAATATAAGATGATGTTTCAAATTCTTCTACTGTATATTCCAACATTTAAAATGTCTATGGTACAAAGTAGCATTGAAATAGGAAAATGTCGGCTGGATGCGGTGGCTCACATCTGTCATCCCAGCACTTTCGGAGACTGAGGTGGGCGGATCACCTCAGAGCATGCTGGCCAACATGGTGAAACCTCACCTCTACCAAAAAAAAAAATATATAAAAATTTGCTGGGATTGGTGGTGCATGACTGTAGTCCCATCTACTTGGGAGCCTGAGGCAGGAGACTTGCTTGAACCTAGGATGTGGAGGCTGCAGTAAGCTGCACTCCAGGCTGGGCAACAGAGCAAGACTCTCTCCAAAAAAAAAAAAGACAAAGAAATAGGAAAATGTAAGAGCTTGTTAGGAGAATATAAAATTTTAAGACTAGTAATTCTTAGAATTTCCAAGATCTTTTTTATTCCTGCATGAAACAGAAGTTAATGTTTTCTAATTTATACAGCAAATAATGGCAAAATTTGTTTTGAAACATTATGTTGTGTTTCAAGTATAGCTCTTAGTTCTAAGTTATCCACTGAGAGAGGATCAGATCATAGCTTTGTGTAATGCATCTCTCTGCAGGCGCTCCCATTATATTCTACACCAGTAATACCTAACAGAGCTGAGTGGTATGAAAACTTTTACCACATCACTCAACTGAAGCCTCATAAAGCCTCTTAAAAGTCATGGGAGGTTGGAGATAGGAATCTTGAGGTGATATGATAAAAATAATGTGTTACATTTAAGGTAAATAATAGTTTCATGGGGAAAGTTTGAATCACAGGATTCAATTATTATTGACTTACATATCCACCACTTACACATTTTAGTCCTGTACTAATTTTTTCCTTACATTGATCATATCTCTTTTTTAATTCTCTCTCATTTACCTAAACATCTGTCTACATAAATTAAAAAGAAACCTATTCAAAAATCTAATAGGAAAGAAGAAACTGATTACTAGGTATCCAATGAGAAAATGTCTGAAAAACACTAAAGATAAAAATACTACGTAAGTGCTCGTTAGGTTTAACTCTCATCTTCGTCTTTGTTGGATAATAATGCCATCTTTCTTTGTGGCTGTTAGGGAAGCAGCAAGTGTTACCTACTGCTGTGGTACTGAATGCAGGGTTGCACAGTCAAATTGTAAGTCCTTGAAGACGGTGTTTGCTAGAATGTTAAAACTAGGAGTCCCTAATTGCCATGCAACATTCAAATATTATAATATTTGCATGTAAGCTTAAACTTATCTAGACTCCCATATAATTAAAATTAGTTATTTCCCAGGTTTTTACTCATATTTGATGTAAGAAATCAAGAATCCAGTTTACAGCTTTGTCCTTTAATCATATGAAATAGTTTAAAATTGGTCATGTATGCTTAGGTTTCAGCTTTTGCAAAGCTCTCATTTATTTTTTATTTCATTCTGACCAAGGAGTGCATTTATGTTTGCAAACAAAAAGACGTATTAATCAACTAGAAGTAGATCACAGAAAGCTCTCCAGTCAGTATATGACTATTATCTTCATTAATACTGACTCTCTTTTTTTTTTTTTTGGAGATGGAGTTTTGCTCTTGTTGCCCAGGCTGGTGTGCAATGATGCGATCTTGGCTCATGGCACCCTCTCCCTTCTGGGTTCAAGCGATTCTCCTGCCTTAGCCTACCGAGTAGCTGAGATTACAGGCATGTGCCACCACGCCCAGCTAATTTTGTATTTTCAGTAGAGACGGGGTTTCTCCATGTTGGTCAGGCTGGTCTTGAACTCCTGACCTCAGGTGATCTGCCTGACTCAGCCTCCCAAAGTGCTGGGATTAGAGGCGTGAACCACCCCACCCAGCTCAATACTGACATTATTCTTATAATGGTTATATTGCTTCAATGTTATTGGTTACAAAACTAAAATGATTCAAGTGTGAAATTTCCAATTATTCAAATTTAAATAATGAATACAGTAAGTTATGTTAGAAGGTTATAGCAGGAGGCATTTATTAACAAAACAAATTTGTGTTTTCACCACATGTGGGTGCTCTGCTTTCATGAACAGAGACATAAGAAGGTTAAATCAGGTCTGTATGATAAATATATCAAATGAATTAAAGTATTTCTGTTTAGAGTTCTCCCCTAGGTATTGGAACAATTTACTGTGGGCTATAATAACCGCAGGATGTATAGACAGAAGACATAGTGACTGTGTATGTTAAACTCTAATGAGGTTACGACCCCCTTCTAGTCTATTCCAGATCTATTGAGGCTCCTGCTTATCTTGGTTAGTATTTGACCCAGTGGACCTCAGATGAATGGAGAGTCAACATTTGTCATGTTTTGGATATGGAAATTAGATAAAATTATTACAACATAAAGTGTAGCTTCATAAAAATGAAGAAAGGCCAACGACTATGTTTTCTCATATTGCAGAAGCTCACATCTAGGTATGATGACATTACTTTCATCAATTAGATGATTATCAGTTACAATTCTCTGTGCCTAGAAGATAATAATGGCTGGCTTCATTCCTTTGTTTGAATTTGAGGTTGTCTCTTAATCAGACCTGAGTACTTAGATGGTCACAGCTGGGTATTAGATCCTAATATCAAAATCTGCTATGAAACCACATGTGATCAGTGTTTAGCAACAAAGAGAATAAATGATGGACCTTGGCAGGTGTCCCAGGCACTACACAAAATTCACATCAAATTACAAAAGATAAGGAGTCTGATTAAAATTTACTGCTTTTATTCACCTTACTTATTGTTCCCCAAGCATTTCTTTCAGAATAGGCTAATTAGCATACCTTTGGGCTCCAAGGAGAAGAAAATACAGGAAATTATATGTCGGAATCAGTAGTATTGGACATTGTATCTTTTCAAGAACATACTTAGCCTGTGAATAGTGCAGAAAAACATCTGCTGGCAATGAGCTGCATGGAGCACGGGTCACTTGGCTCAGCATGAACTGAAATTATTAGGGAAGAATTTACTCGCGAAGATATTAACACAGCATCCACCTACCTCTTCACAATATTTCAGGTCAACTGACTTGCCATCACTTCGAACACAATCCAACATCCTTGTTTTTATTCCATTTCCACAAACTGCCTTCTCACTCAGCTGACATGTACTCCAGTCTGAAAAAAAGGGAAGCCCATCAGAACAGAAGGCTAAGTATGAAACAGATTTCAAATGAAACTCTGATGACCTGAATCCCATATTTAATTCACAACTGCTTCCTAAGCCCCATAATCAATCATCCCCCATGCAGAGCATATGGGTCCCAGCTTTGAACATATCAGGAGTCAAATGGAATTGCTGGGGTTGCACATAGCTACAGGGATTATTCTTAAAGGCAGATGTCTACTTGAAAATCTTGATAGCTAGCCGTTTGGTGACACTGTAAAAATGGCTTTGGCCTACAGATCAATGTCACTTAAAAACTTTTTTTCCCAATAAAAATATCATTTAAAATCTTAGCATTACTTTTAGCAAAATAATCATAATTGTGACAGATGGTACTTTGTGTAGTTATGTTCAAATAAAACGTATTTTACTTCTTATCCATATTTAGAATGCATGAAAATGCATACATTTATTAAAGTGATAAAATCACTTCGGCCATATTTATTTAATTCTCTTATTTTATGTCTTTTGCAAAATAGCTCTTTCATCTCTTTTCCCTGGGTAACATAGCATGTCCCAGATAACTTTGATTTCTTTTGTATCATCAAAGGAAACTAAAGAGAAAAACCACAAGAAACAGAGAGCCAATCTGACCTGTTATGTGTCACTGTACAGTTTCTTGAGTTTGTTTCAGAGTGAAAATTACTTGGAAAAAATTCCAAAGTAAGCTTTGGTGTTGTCCCAATTCATATAAACAAATAGAAGATTTTTCTTTCCTAGCGTATGCACCTTGATGGTATTAAATGAGTTTTAGGGGAAAATGCAATTTATAATAAACCTGTTTTTCTGAAAATACTCATCTATTTTTACCTGCACCTTTTATAGCATTGATTTATAATCTTTGGCAAGTTTGAGACTGCTGACTAATCATGTTTATAAACTGCCCATACCTCATGAATTGTTGCCCAGTATGCTTTAGCAATTAAGCATCTTCTAAAAAAGAAAGACATTTTTGAATAAATATGATACTTGTGTTAAAAATATTTTAGATTCACCTTCCCAAAGTGAGAGGTTGTCTTATGTAGGAACACTTAGCATATTCACAACCTACTTTAAGGGCTAATGTCTGTGTGACATTTTTATTTCCTCTATCTTGGTGTTTACTAAAACCAGATAAGTATTTCTGTCATTTAATATGTAATTATTTCTGGGAAAGTAAGCAGCGTGTCCAAAAGGCACACAGATAGAGATGAACTATACTGACAGGAACACTTCAGAGCTGACAGACACAAGATTTGGACTTAACTCTGTGATCAGATGACGATCCATGTACCTGTTACATTATAATCATAGTGGTAGCAGTTTTTGTTCAGGTTACAGGGTTCTTTCTCAACAGCATTAGGGCAAGATCTTCCTTCATCAGCTGGTTGTCTGATGGGATCAGCTGACCTTTGCCGGAAACTGCTTTGATTGCAAGGCTTAAAAAGAACAGTACAAATTCTCAGAAAAGTGAATACTCAGCTACACAACTGGTATATTAGAGACAGCACTGGAGCAGGAGTTAGAACATTTGGACCACTGGCTAACTCAGAAAAGTCAGTCAACCTCATTATGCCTCAGTTGTTCAATGTATAAAATGAAGCTGTTGAATGAGATTTTGATGTACCATCTAGCTGTAAGATGCCATGTGTCCAATGCTAATACACACATCACCTCACACCTATACACACACACACATATGGTGGTCATGTTAATTATTATAGAAAGCTATTACATATATATACATATAAAGTTATATGTGTATTATTATATATATATAATTATATGTTTGTGGATTATGTATAGTCTTTTGGGCCTTAAAAGACAAGAATAACTTTAAATGACTTGGTGTTAGTGACTTTCCTTTTCCTGATGTACATGTATATATGCATATAAACAATTCTAATTCTGAATTCTAATTTTAATCCTTAATTTAGAATTGAGAAAAAAAAATTAAAGTTCTAAGACCTGCAACTGACCAAATGGACCCCCTCTTGGCCATAGGGACCACAGAGAAACCTTGAAAACGGAGTTCTCGGCCTTTAGGCTTTCTTCCCTAAGGGTTATACAGAAACAAGCCCTTTGGAAACACTCACTCTATACCTGATCAACCAATTGTCTTGAAACTGCCTTTGCAAAAATTATAACAGTAAGAAAATTATGGCAGTAAAAGAGATCTGATCTAACCCAACCTCATCTCACTTTTCTCTTAGTTATTCCTGGGTTTTTGGGCTGAGCTAACTTCAAGAAACATTTAGTTTATAGTTTAATTAACAGGCTTTTCCCCAAACTCAAGTGGCTTTGTAAAGCTAATGAAAGGCCATCAGGCTGGGAGAGGAGGGGAACCTGAATTCTGCTAAGGTGTAGACATAAATGATTGCTAGCTACTCCTGCAGATGTTACCACTACAGTAGATTGGCTTTTTGAGATATCTTTTCTGTTTTTTTTTTGCATGTCTAACACCCAGGGCTCTACCTGAACCGCCAACCTAGTTCCTGTGGCCCCACCCAGAAGAATTCAGCCCACAGGAGGACAGCTTTGACTCCCTGTGATTTCATCTCTGCCCAACCAATCAGCAGCAAGCACCCATTACCTGGCAGCCCCACCCCTTTCCCCCAAACTGCCTTTGAAAAACCCCTACCTAGGAGCCTTAGATGAGATTGATTTGAGTACTAACTCCATCTTCCATGTGGCATGGCTGGCCTTATGTCTATTAAACTCTTTCTTTACTGCAGTACCCTGGTCTTTATTCATGCAGCAGGCAGGAAGAACCCCTTGGGTGGTTAGAGCCTGACACTGCCTCTTCCTTTTATGGTTGCAACAAAACAGCCAACCAGCATTTCTTCCTAAAAAGAAACCACTGATCAAGGAGTGGTTCTGGGCAGTCCATGGAGGATGTACAGTAAGGGTTTCTGTGACCTCTGTTTCACCTTTTGACATTAGAGCACTGAAAACCCCACCCTTGGATCATGCTAATGCCACCATTTTTGGTACACGGGACACATGAGGGGGCATAAAGCTCAACTGCACATGCGTACTTTTCTCTTTTTATAAATATTCATGACTCCTCATATAGCTTATTAAATATGTATATTTGGCCACCCTGCTCAACACAAATTACTGTTCTCTTTGCCATTCCCTAGAAGTGTCTATTTCTGGCTTCTGGCTGGCAGCTATGATTCCCAGCCTGTCAGGATGGCCACCCTGCAGGCTGCAACCCTTTATGAGATATAAAGCTCTCCTTTCCAAATTTATGAACCTTGTCATTCTTCAGTTGACAACATCTAAAAAGATTGGCTTGCCATTCATCTACTGGTACAGTCTTCTGAAAACAGTTGGTTTCTAAGAATGGTAAGAAACCAGGAACAAGCCTCCATGGACTTTTTAAGGCCTAAAATAATTGCTTCCTCCTCCCCTGCTTCCATTGAACTTTGGTCACACCACTGGAATAACACTATCTGTCTTGACATAATGTGTATTATATAAAGGTCTTGTTCCTTTCTACAGTGCACTAGGAGAAGACTTATGTTTTAGAGAGCAGTATATTTTCCCTACCTAACACAGTTACTGATAGACAGTAAAAGCTTAATCGGTATCTGTTTAATGAAGGCCTGAGGGAAGAAACAAGGTGAGTTAAAGGTAAAATATGTCAAATGAAATTTAGCTTGAATGTAAGCTGTCCACTTACATTCAAGTTCATCCTAAAGGTTTCTTCGCACATAGTGAACTGTACCCTATTTGGATGTGTAAACAGACCGTAACCTACTCTTGTGCAATCACTGAGTTTCAAATGTGGCCGATTGTTCAAATCGTGTTCAAATACGACAAATGCAAAGGAAGGTTTTTAAAAAATCTCAGGATCTCATACACCCTATGCAAAAGGGAAGGGTAAGCCTGGAGGCCGTCTTGCAACATTCTCTTCCACTTGAATAGCTATTGCTAGCATTGTTCCAGATCCCACGGAAAGGTAAACGGCCTCAGGCATCATGAATGACTGATCCCATAGATGGTTCACAGGTAAATTCTTTCATGGCCTCCCACAAACAAGGACATACCAATTGTAACTTTAGGTCTACAGTCTAAGTCTAACTCCTAAAACTCAAGTCTGATTCCACACTGATACTATCAATCACAAGTGTATTTTCCCAGGTTCAGAACAAAAACAAGAGGAGATCAGTCATTCTTCCATCTACCCAGAGATGTCTGCATAATTGATTCTTCCTCTATTACCTTTTTCTCTTCAAACATTCACCTTACCTTATATAAAATGTAGATTATGGGGCACTAACTAGTCTCACAGGAATATAACTATTTGCCTTAATGCCTACCTGCCTCTCTTCCTACGTGCCTCCCCCCATTTAAGGGAATGTGTAAACATAAAACATCTTAAACACCTCTTCAGAAAACCTCCTTGCTTTTTCCCAGATGTGTCCTAAAGCTGGCTTATTAAACTTCGATTGATTGGGACTTGTGCCTTACTTACTCATTCTGTTTATCACAAACGTCAAAGTGTAATCAATCTAGCTGTTGCTGAACCTCGCTTCTGTACATCATTTTCTGTATGTCACTTATCTGCTTCTGCCCAATAATCTTTTCCAACCACGTGGCAGTGCTGGAGCCTCTCTGAACCTGTTCTGGTTTGGGAGGCTGCCCAATTCTTGAATGGTTCTTTGCTCAATTAAACTGTTAAATTTAATTTTTCTAACGTTTTTCTTTAAAGAAATAAAAAGCCCAGGAATCACAGTTTATTCACCTCATTGAATTTTATTCTTATCCAAACATTCCTATTGGCAAACTCTCAGGAACACAAAATATGCTTCACAAACTCTCTTTTATAAATAATAGAACCTCAATAATTCGTCTAAGATGGCTATCCTTGATCATTTAATACAGAAACCTACTGGACAAAGTTCCAGTTTAGTGGTTCCTTTTATTAAAATCCCTATTAATAAGTTTAAGAAGGGGCCTGGGTTCAATATTTCCTATTTTATAAAAATGGAAAATTTTTGTAATATAATATCTGACAAAAAAATCTCACTATTATAAACATAGACAGTGTAGCATGTAGCCCAATTATTTGATGTAACTTCAAATCTGATGCTATGAAATTAGGACAGAAAATCAGTTGTATATCCTTGTGAAACAGTTGATTACTACAGTTTAACTTGCATTCCAGTCAACTGCCATCTTTGTTTTATTCCTGCTATATCAGTTGTCTGCTAATCAGTATCTTTAACACTGAAATGGAATATCAATTTCTCCTTGGAAAATATGCACCATAAAGTCTTCTTTGAAATGGTTTTATATCGTATTTCAACAAAATAATTCCATATGTTATTTTTTTCCCATGCTTTTGATGCTGTTTTTGAAATGTACAGTTTTACAAAGGTGCCCATGGGTAAGCCAAATATCCTACATAAGCAGCCAGTCCTGTTTCAAATGACTCTCTTCCCAGAGTCTCGTGGATGAGCCCCTACTGGCTGTTGAAACGCAGAAGCTTTTGTGTGATTTGAAACTCTCAGCTGGCTTTCCAGGCCCAAAGAGACACAGAGTCAGTGTGTAAAGAGAAATTCATTGGTGTACAGCTTTCTTCTTCTACTTAGTTTCTTACCCAGTATCTTTTGCTTTTTAGTGTTAATACCCCTGCTGCTGTATTCCCACTGTGTGACAGATTATTCCTACCATTTAAATAAAAGGTATGGGCAAAAAGCAATGGATGACAATAACTTGACACCATTAAAGTACCTTTACTTCATTCATTTTCCCTTTTACCTGGAGGGAATCATTATCACCACTGCAGTTTTTAACATGCTGTGTATTTATAAGGCAAACTGAAGGCCTTTTGTGCTGGATTAGGATGATGGGTTGAGTAAAGCTTGCAAGAGGTGGAGCTGTTCTAGTGTGAGAGGAAACATTACAAACTTTAAATAGCACAGTCATAGAATGATGTGGCCGAGAAAACACACCTTGCTTTGGTAAATATGCAAACAAACAAATTTTACATTGAAGTTATTATATTTTTTAAATAATGTCTTTACAGCTTCAGCGGCAAAGAATTAAATAAACTCTACATTAATAAAAAGGTTAATCATCTTACCAAAACACATCGGGTCCATGGACCCCATTCAGATATCACACAGTCCTCAGGGCATGGTAATTTGCACACTCTAGAGCCCAGGGGCATCTCTTCCGGGTCACAGAGGTAATCCTCTACATGTTCAGAAGGGCCATCTGCTGTATTCTGCATGCATCTAAAAAAGAACATAAACATATTCTAGAAAATATACATACCTTCTCGAAGTGAAGAAAACAGGACAATTAGAATGACCAACCCACAGGACAGATGGTTCTCCTTAAGACATCATTATGGGGGTGGGGAGTAGGAAGCTTTGTTATCTAATAAAATTCTCCAGAAATGAAGACTTAAAAGGATCTTTGCCTCTCCTAAATATTTGTAGTGCTTCTGCATGATTCAAAAATGTGTTTTGCATTCATGAGTCTTTGAATATAAGAGCCATTGTGTGTATGTAAACTGTGCATGTTATGAAAGCTTCCTCTGAAAGCAGAGGGTCATTTATACACATGTGAGGCAGAAACTAATGAGGAATTGTCCAAAGAGCTTCATAGAGGGCTTACAATTTGGCATATAATGCATTTATTCTTCTCAAGAAAATGATGGATTTCATAGAGAAGGTAGAGTTAGTTGATTTATATGTGATGAAAGACCAGGCACACTGAAATCTCTAAGTGGGAGATTTCATTGTTTGTGAAAACAACTAGAGGCATTTATCAATTCATTTTGTCATTTTAAAAGTAATTTTAGCCTCCCTTCTGCTCTGAATCTTAAACGAAAGTGAGAAGTGAAAAGAGAATTATAATAGGTATAGCATAGGTTCTCTAAATATGGTTATTTGGATTTTCCTACTACTTGACTTAAAAAAATTGTTAGTTTGTGTTCCATTTTATTCTCCTGTAAGCAGTCATGAAGGGCTCCTTATTCATCTTTTGGGAATCTAATTAACATGGCTAGTATCAGACTTCACTTTTACCATAGTAAATAATCTCTCTGGGCACTTAAATATTATAGCAGGAGAGAAAACCTTTCTCTCTCATGCATAACTTGGAAAAGGTCAGCCAACTTAATGGATTCAGGAAGAGAACTGCATTTCAGGAGTTAAAAAGGAAGGCTTGAACTCTCAAGTCTCTCAAACCTAGTGTCATGTATTAAAATATCAGTTGAATTAAATTGCCAGTGATACCTGGCATCCCAGCTTTTCTCAGGGATTTACAATCAGCAGGAACATTCACAAATCTACTCTACAGAGTCCCCTTGCTATGCAATGTTGCTGAACTTAAGAGGAATGTCCATTCCCTGTGGGATACATTCAAACACTGGAAAGCTGTGTTGTTGGTCATGTCTTAATGGGCCTGTAGCCTGAAAAAATATGCAAATACCTATGCATTTTTTTTTTTGTACACTAGATACATACATAAAAAGCAATCACAAAAATATGCAAATTAGATATTTATATGATTTCATTATTGAAAAAAATAAATTATGAATATTTTTGGGAGAATTTGAGTTTCCCAGGAAAAATTTCTACCTTCAATATCATTTTTAAAATGTTCTGTTGACAGCAGCTTAGAGACAACATGTTGCAGACAGGGCATTTCAGTGCTCAAAAGTTGGATTTGCTCCTAAGAATAGATTACATTTGGGTAGGTACTGTCGCTATATGCAAAGATCAACTTGTAGAATTACCTATTGATCTAGAGTTAAGAACAGATATCCAACACTCTATTAGGCAGTTATGTACATAAATCTTTATTTTCAAAGATTTCTCTTGATATGATTTGGCTCTGTGTCCCCACCCAAATCTCCTGTTGAGTTGGAATTCTCAGTGTTGCGGGAGGGGCCTGGTGGGAGGTCACTGGATCATGGGGGTGGATGGTCCCTTTGCTGTTCTCATGATAGTGAGTTCTCATGAGATATGATGGTTTAAAAGTATGCAGCACCTCCCCCTTTGCTTTTTCTCTCTTGCCACCAAGTGAAGATGTGCTTTCTTCCCCTTCACCCTTATGCCATGATTGTAAGTCTCCTCATGCCTCCCCAGAAACAGAAGCCTATACAATCCACAGAACCATGAGCTGATTAAACCTCTTTTCTTTATAAATTACCCCATCTCAGGTAGTTCTTTATAGCAGTGTGAAAACAGACTAATACAGAAAATTGGTACAAGAGAAGTGTAGCATTGCTGTAAAGATACCTGAAAAAGTGGAATCAGCTATGGAACTGGGTAATGGACAGAGGTCAGAACTGTTTGGAGGGATCAGAAGAAGACAGGAAGATGAGGGAAAGTTTGGAACTTCCTAAAGACTTGTTGAATGGTTGTGACCAAAATGCTGATAGAAATATGGATGGTGAAATCCAGGCTGAGGTGTTCTCAGATGGAGATGACAAGCTTATTGGGAAGTGGAATAAAGCTCACTTTTGCTATACTTTAGCAAAGAGATGGGTGGCATTGTACCCCTGCTCTAGAGATATGTGGAACTTTGAACTTGAGAGAGATGACTTAGGGTATCTGGCGGAAGAAATTTCTAAGCAGCAAAACATTCAAGATGTGGCCTGGCTGCTTCTAAAAGCCTAACTTATTTGGATAAACAAGTAAATGACTCCAAACTGGAACTTACATTTAAAAAGGAAGAAGAGCACAAAGTTTAGAAAATTTGCAGCCCAGTCATGTGGTAGAAAAGAAAAACCCATTTTCTTGGAAGGAATTCAAGCCAGATGCAGGAATTTGTGTAAGTAAAGAGGAGCCAGATGTTAGTAGCCAAGACAATGGAGAAAATGTCCCCAAGATGTTTCAGATACCTTCATGACAGCCACTCCCATCACAGGCCCAGAGGTCTAGGAGGGAAATTTTGTTTTGTGGGCCAGGCTTATGGTTCCACTGCTCTGTGCAGCCTCAGGACATGGCACCTTGCAACCCAGTCTCTCCAGCTCCAGCCATGGCTAAAAGGGGCCAAGGTACAGCTCAGGCTATTGAATTAGAGGATGCAAGTCCCAAAACCTTTATGGCTTCCCCATGGTGTTAGGCCTGTGGGTGCACAAAAGCTAAGAGTTCAGGCTCAGGAGCCTCCACCTGGATTTCAAAGGATGTATGGAAATGCATGGATGTCCTGGCAGAAGTCTGCTGCAGGGGTAGAGCCTTCACTAGTAGGGCAGTGTGAAGTGGTAATGTGAGGTTGGGTCCCCCCACTGAGGCACTGTCTAGTGGAGCTGTGGAAGTAGGGCCACAGTCCTCCAGACCCCAGAATGACAGATGGACTGACAGTTTGCACTGTGCACCTGGAAAAGCTATAGACACTCAATGCCAGCTCATGAAAGCAGCCTTGGGGACTGTACCCTGCAGAGCCACAGGGGTCGAGCTGCCCAAGGCCTTGGGAACCCACCACCCCTGTGTCATTGTGGCCTAGATGTGAGACACAGAGTCAAAGGAGATTATTTTGAAGCTTTAAAATTTAATGACTGACCTGCTGGGTTCTGGACTTGCATGGGGCCTGAAACCTCTTTCTTTTGGCCAATATCTCCCATTTGGAATGGGGGAATTGTATCTTGGAAGTAACTAACTTGTTTTAGATTTTACAGGTTCATAGGCAGAGGGGACTTGCCTTGTCTCAAATGAGATTTTGGATTTGAAATTTTGAGTTAATGCTAGAATGAGTTAAGGCTTTGGGGAACTGTTGGGAAGGTATGGTTGTGTTTTGAAATATGAGAAGTACATGAGATTTGGGAAGGGCCAGGGTGGAATGATATGATTTGGCTCTATGCCCCCACCCAAATCTCATGTTGGGGGAGGGATCTGGTAGGAGGTGATTGGATCATAGGGCAGATTTTCCCCTTGCTGTTCGCATGATAGTGAATGAGTTCTCATGAGATCTGGTTGTTTGTAACGTGTGTGGCACTTCCCCCTTCACCCTTTCTCTCTCCTGCTGCCATGTGAAGACGTGCTTGCTTCTCCTTCACCGTTTTGTCATGATTGTAAGTTTCCTGAAGGCTCCTTAGCCATGTCTCCTGTACTGCCTGTGGAACTGTGAGTCAATTAAACCTCTTTTCTTTATAAATTAGTCTCAGGAAGTTCTGTATAGCACTGTGAGAACAGATGAATACATCTCTCTTCCTTTTATTTTTTGTTATACAAGTAATATACTCATTTTAAGAAAATAAGAATAAAAATTTCCACAATTTCATCAGAGATAACCACTCATAACAGACTATATTAATAGACTATTACTTTAAATATATATTTTCATTTTACAAAATAGAAGCAAATTTTACCTATTTGTACCATTTAAAAAATCTACAATATATTATGATCATCTTCTTGTCATTAACTATTTATCTAAGATATATTTTAATGTCTACATTTGAATTCCATTGCTTAAATGTGCCACAATTGCTAAAATGTTCCTGTTGTAGCATTCAGGCTACTTACAGGATTTATTTTTGTTATTTTGCATTAAAAATTTTTATAATCACCCTAGAATACAGAATATTTGGATCAAGTTTTAAGCTCAAAGAAGGGACTTTAAATTCCTTTGCTTTCTTCAAATTCTTGGTCTTTCTTTCAAGGAGCAAGAATTATACTGTGAGAAAACTGAACTATATTAGAGATACATGGTGTAGAACCAAGTTGCAGGCAAACGGTGAAGTCAGAAGTCCATCATAGGTGTGGTAATAAGAGAGTGTATTTTCTGCATAGATTTAAAAAGCAACAATAACTAAATCTGTCTGTTTTTTATTATCACTATGTGTTGGCAATTCTAGAAAAAGTCAGTGAAAAAAATATCCTTCCCTACCAAGGCAAACCACTTCTACCACCACTCCTTGATAGGCTATAACATCCTTAAAGAGGAAGAGTAAATTTAAACTTCCTTTTTTATAGACCCATCTATCCTGAAAATGTCACCCAACACTTGCATTGAAGCAGGGCATTTTGACCTTCATTAGCAGAAGATAATTTAAGGGAGGTGTACTACTCAATCAGTAACAAACAGAAACATCATTACATGATTAGAGATCGCAATCAATACTGACCTCTTTTCTCTATTTGCATTGAAGTTGTTTACTAAAAAAATAAATTGATCTGAAAAGTTACTTTGTTTAGAATGTGTTTGGAAATGTTAAGAGTATCTATTTACAAAGCAAAAAAAAAAAAAAAAAAGTAACATGTACACAGACAGTGGAAGGGAAAGCTGAAGAAAACCACCCAGTAGTTCTTTTATTATAAATTTTTTTTTGTTTGAGATGGAGTCTTGCTCTGTGGCCAGGCTGGAGGGCAGTGGCACCATCTCAGCTCACTGCAACCTCCACCTCCGGGATTCAAATAATTCTCCCGCCTCAGCCTCCTGAGTAGCTAGGACTACAGGTGTGCGCCACCATGTGCAGCTAATTTTTGTATTTTTAGTAGAGATGGGGTTTCACCATGTTGACCAGGATGATCTTGATTTCTTGATCATGTGATCTGCCTTCCTCGGCCTCCCAAAGTGCTGGGATTACGGGCATGAACTGCTGCACCCGGCCTATAATTTTTTTTTTTACTAATGAAACAACAAACCTGAGCAAAGTCTTAATGTAATATTTTTTAATTTTGAAGAAAAAAATAACTTGAAAGGAGAATAGTGGAAAACAGAATCTCTTCTTTTTTCTGTGTCCCTATCTACTCATTACCTCTCTACATCTTCCCCATTCCCGGTCTACCTATATTAAGGTCCTCAGAGAAAAAATAAATTGAGAGTTCAGATGGGCTTTTGAAAAAAGAAATATGAAACTTTTTATTAGACATAAATTATATACAGACTCATATCAAAGGTTTTATATGGTAAAACAAATATTAACTTGTTCTGCTTGCCTACTGAAGTAGACTAAAACATATCAATCTTAAATGCATGAAAGGTTGGGTTATGGGTAAGAATGAACTTCTTCATAACTTGGGTTGCTGTGTGCTGGATGTTCTTATATTTGTCTTTCCTGGGTGTTACTGAGAAGGGTTAAAAGAAACCAGTGTATTTAAAAAGAGTGGAGGGAGACATGGGTTTGAATTCCAATGCTGCCACTTTAATAGATGGGTGTTCTTGGTACGTTATTTAGTACTTGGGAATCTAATCTACAAAATGGAGGTGATAAAACCCCATGCACTTGTTTCACAGAGTTCTAGAGCCCTTAAGGATCATGTGATAAATGCTGTATGGAAAATTTAATGAGTATCAATCTAGTGTTAGGCAGTAGGGAATTCTTATGAATATGGTGGGTTCTCTGTTTTAAGAAATTTATAGTTTTATTACAGGGATAGACATGAAGAGGGGTCTTTTCAATACAGTGAGGAGTATATGGAGTGTAATAGAATAACCCTGTCCAATGGAACTTTCTGCCATGACGAAAAAATACTCTATGTCTGTGCTGTCCAACAGATAGCTGCCAGCCACATGTGGCTATGGAGCACTGAGGCATGGCTAGTGTGACTGGGGAGATGAATTTTTAATTTAATTTAATCTTAATTTGTTTAAATTTAAATTGAGTTAGTGCGGCTAGTGGCTATCCTATTGACCAGTGTAGCTACAGAAGAACAAGTGACAGGCAGGAACTAGCTGGGGGTTTCAGAGAAAGCTCCCTGGATAACAGGATAGTATTCAGTTAGCCAGTTTGATACAAAAGAGCAAGAGTTTAAAACAGATTATTTTAAAAATGAACTTGGACATATATTTGGCCTTTAAGCAAAAAAGTTATTGGGGTTGAAAATCTACATTAGTTCAGATTGAATACGCTGTTCCTTCTCTTTAAGGGTATTTGAAGTGAAGCTTCCTAAATCAGAAGGCCAGAATAGAATAAACTGCTGCTTGAAGCAGATTCTCCTAGAGTTTTCCATGAACACAGATTCCCTAAAAGCAAAACTGCAGACAATTTTATCCAGAAGACTGGGGAGGAGTGAACAGTTGTGTTGGCACATGTGCGATTGGGAGATGGTTTTGTGTCTTGCTTCTCTGTGTAATTAGACTTTGTCTTACCTCACTTTTCGGGTTTGCACGCCCTCTCCACAGTTCTCCCGCATATTCACAAAAGTCACCTTGCAGATGCTCCAGGGCTCTGTGACCCATAGGTACTGATTGCAGTCACTGTGGCATGGGACAACCTCATACACCTGAAACACACATGGCTCTCAGCAATCTCAGGGAATCTGGTAAGAGTGAGCAAGAAGACTTCCACACCATAACAACAATCATTCCACTGTTAAGCTACTTCCATTCCCCTCCTTTATGGCTTATTATTCTAACATTGCAATAGAGAGAACTCAAGAGTTCTAGCAGTAAAGGATAGGGCTAACCATGTTGTATTCTGTTGCTCTGCTATTACGCTGCAGGTGTGAATCCGATCAACTGGATCACATTAGAAAGGTTACATATTTTCCTGTGCTGACCCTTAACACACCGTATTGTAACTTTCTGGACCATCTGTGTAATTTACAGTTTTGTGTGACTTCAATACTAGCCCAGGGTGCTCACATGTTAGGTACTCAACAGGGATTTGCAGAATGATTGAATGAACAACGAATTGATGAATTAAATATGTATAAAACATAGCTGTTTTCCAAATAAATACAATTTGACCTATTTTCCAGATAAGTATAAATCATGATGAGAATTTACATTTTTGGTGTGTATCATATGGGAAACTAAATTAAAAAGATAAACAATATGAAATAAAGCCATCTTAATATGAATCCTCAATCATTTAAGGATTGGAAGCAGAGTCTGATATTGGTCTACAACCCCAAGCAGTGAGGGCCACATGAAACAAAGCAATTTGTCTCTGCTCCAGGGTCCATAAAGCCTTTCAGTCCCACATTTGGGGTGGTGTGCTTGGTCTCAGGGTTTTTAGTACAATGAACCAATTATGTTCTTTTTTCAACGAGAAGAATGACTAAATAAAGGAAATAAATGACACTTAATCCACTGCAACCAAGCTGACTCAGGCATTAAATACAATTCTTTGAAAGTATTTTTCTAATCTATGATAGTACAACTCTATTCTTTATTTTATACACACACACACACACACACACACACTTCTTGAAGAGACAGAGAGAGAGAGAGAGAGAGAGAGAGAGAGAGAAGAGAGAAACTATAGCTTTTTATGGGATGAATTCTAGAAAAGATAGACTTAAATAGCCCTTTGGAGCCATTGTTTTGTGCCAATTTTAGTGCACTAAAAACCTAAGTAAAATGAATAAAGTGGACCTGTCTCAAAGAAGAATAAAAAATGCACTGTTGGAGTCAAATTCTGCAATGATTGCCATAAGTGATTACATTCACATTTAGGTGCTGTATTAAAATAGAACTAAATAGCACAGGATAAAACATTACCCTACAACTCATGGTGAAAAGGAAAACCGAAGGAGAAATGCTGTTCTTCCTAATCCTTTGATGGCTTTTATTTTAATCGCCTGTATTGAAGTGAATACCGATCAGTTCAGAACAATCTCCAACCCACCCATTTTCAGTCCACTTGCACTTTTTCCTTCTCCCTCTGAAAAGCACAAGACCATTAATAACAGGTGTCACTGCCTATCCAGATTAGCGAAGTGAAACTTGTTCTTCCCAACTCTTGTTCACCTCAGTCCTTACTATTACAATGAGGGATATGAAATACAGGAACACAGGTAACTATGATATAAAAGAAAAAGAAAACAGCTATAGAAAAAATTCTTTAATGGAAAATGTGATATTTTCTCCCTGTAAAACATAAAAGACAAGGCAAGAAGAGAAATGTGTTCTCAGAAACCAGGAAATTTTAGAAAAGAAGCATTCTATTAAGAACCATGAGTTTTAAGAGTTCTTACCTGTGCCTGGAGTGGTGTTCAACAGGAATGATGAAAAAGGAAACAAGATAGGTGAAAACGTCAGTATGCTATGAGAAGAACTCGTGGTAAGTTTCAAGTATTATTACTTAAATGTAAAAACCTACTTTTTTGGTAAAATGTTAGAACATTTTTCTTAGGTCATAGGAGATAATACACAACTACTTATTATTGTTGAAAAGTAAGACACACAAATGAGTATTGTAAATAGCAGAGCCAATGAAAAAATTAGATGGGCAGGATGGAGAAATCTTGGAAAACGGAGTTGACCTCAAAATACATAGCATGGGAAATTGATACATGATGCAAATAACTTGTGATCCAACTTGTCAATGGACTATTGTCTATCAGTATATTTGTAGCTTGATCTAGCCATTGATTTACCTTAATTAGTTCAGCTGTTTTGTAGAAAATGAGGATTTGAGTACTTCCTTCCTCAGCTAGAAAAATAGAAACTCAGAGACCGTTTTCAAGCCAACGGGCTTCTGATTATTTTACTGAGGAATGTATAATTGTAGTAAACATCTATGTGATTTAAAATTTTCAACATTAACACAAATCTTTACATTTTTATTTTCCCTAAACATCTCACTAATACACAAATTCATAAAAGTTTCTATTTTTATGCAGAACATTTATGCTCAAATGTTCAAAAATGTATTATTTGTTTTTGCTTTGATTTTTCGGTTGTTAATGTCTCAATAAGCCTTCAGTCAACTGATACCAAGTCACAATACCCCTGTCAAACTGCATCAGAATATATTAGAGTTGGAAAGTGACAAATGGTTTAGGCTAAACACTAGTAATAGCAAAGACAACTTGGTCTGAGGTTTTGAACCTTTTGAAATTCACACTTAAGGAAAATCTGAGGCAAACACAGATTTTAATTGCATATCTGACTGGGTGCACACATACATGCTAAAGTGAAATAGGTATGAGTACGTGTAGAATTTCTCTTTTTAGGATTGTGAATCATACATAATTTATCAAAATTTAAATTTGCTACTAAAAATTCAAGGTTTCAAAATGTGTAGAGAAATATTCTTTTGTATTATAAACATTTTAGTTCAGTTATTCTGTTTTACAGTTATATAATTATAGTTGCTGAACTGAATTTTCTTCTTTGGAAATTTCCTTAGCATCTTAGAAACGCAAAATGCTCTGTGACAGGGAAGCTAAACTACCAGTAGATGGCAGCAAGGGAGTGTGTTATTTACCCTCCATTGCACCTAAAGATAAAATCAGCAACTTCACTTGGGGAACAATCAAGACTCTTTAGAGTACTTATTATAGAATTTAATTCTTCACGATCTTCATCTTAATTTACTTAATTCCAAAGTTCTTTCTGTTTTCTCTACAATGTACTTTTATTATGAACAAAGTTATGTCAATCTGGGAAGTAAAGTATGTATACAGGTAAGCAGTGTGTTTAGAGATTAAAATGAGTCTATATATGTGTGAAACAGTTCTACATATTTAAGGACTTGATTATTTGGTTGTGATTTAAATTCAAATACACAACTTAACACCCACACATAATATATGAAATTATTCTTTGTTAATTCACCTGTAGGCCAAACATGGTAATAATTGTCGGATTAGGGTACATTTCATTTAAATTAGTCACAATTCCTCCATTAGACTTTTTTCTTTTCATTTCTAATAGAACAGAATAACAACTATTAACAGCAGGTAACAAAGAATGCATCAAAAGTCAGAGTTCCAAATAAAACTGAAAATGGTCAATCAGTAAATTGATAACATACTTATAGTGACTTTGAGGCCATCTTTGTAGTTGTTTTTCTCAATTTGTTTTATATCAAACACATTTAAACAAACAGTATATATTTTTCCTAATTTTAGACCCAAATCCATATTATTTCTTTGATTTTAATTTAAGTAGTTGGTAATTGAGATGTCTTTTCTGACAGTCTGGGGAAACTATAAGAATGAGATAATCTCAGCCTACATGTTAGATACAATCTTATGACAGATTAAATACCTTGACATTATTTCAAAGATAGGTGTCATTTTTCTCTCCATTGAATTATATACATATTCATATACTTGCAAGGTATGGAATCTCCAGAGAATACAGAGATAATACGTCTAATTTGAAATTTTAATAACATATGTATATTTATTCAGGCATTCTAATGGTAAAAATGGGTCAATTTTTTATTCAATAGGTATTATTTACTCTTCTCCATTTTGGAGAAAAAGATCAGATCATTGTGAATCTCAACAATATCTTAACACTGTCAATGATAGAAAATACCTGGTTGACATGGTCCAGTTTGGGGCAAGGCCTTCCTCCATTATATGGTTTTTCACGTAGCCATTTAGAACGAACCTTTACACCACTTCCACAGGACTTGCTGCAGCGCGACCAGTTGGACCACTCACTGAGCTTGCAGTCTGAGGGGCAGGGGATGATGCAGGCCTCTTCAATGTAACCTGAGTGAAGGAAAATGAGACAAGAGTCATCTCCTCTACCTGTCACTCTCCCACTACCACCCACTATTCTAGCTCATTTAGAAGGTCCAAGACTGACTTGACAGCAGCATGCAAATGCAGAGGTGTCTCCGTTGTTAGGGACTTAAATTAAATTCTGCAGGAAAATGTCACATATATACAGTGACTCTGTTAAAATAACAGTTGAGCAGCTGCCATGTGGTCTGCTTAGGATTCATGCTCACCATATTTCAACATTTCTGACTGACAGCTCGTGTTTAATTGACAATAACCTGTCTGCTGCCATATCATTCTCATGCTGACAGAATGATACATTAAAAAATTATAACAGTTTTCTGTAAAACCCTATCTGTTAATGTCACACAAGTTCAGGGTTCTGAGTCCATGCAACATTCTTTCTTAAGAAATCCCAGTCCCTTTCACTCAGTACCCAAAAGGAACCATTTAACTTAGCATCTTGTTTTTCTCCTCCTTTGAAAATAAAGTCTGAAGAAAAATGAAGGATGTTAAGTAATGTCTCATATTTTATATGCTGTCACTTTCAAGGCACCTTCACATCTTATATCCATTTGATTCTCTTGAAAATCTTATGTATGAATTGTGCAAGTATTGATATTCTAACAGGCAGATAAGAAAAGAAATGCAGAGTGATGACTGACTGAGTCCAAGGTTACACAGTAAGGGATGGGGAAAAGTTTTCTGAGGTCTGATCCAGTACTCATTCCATCAAATCACCCAACCAATTCAGTTAATAGTGCACAGATTTGTTTTGGGAAATGGGAGTATTCTATCTTTGAATAGTTCTTAACTGCAAACTTGCCATTTCACAATACAAATTAAACACTATTATTCTCAAGGCAAACATGTGAAAACAGCAAAATTCCTCTAGTCAAGAATGAAATACACGATTGTCCTCTATAATAGTCTGAATGTGGAGAGAGGGTGTTCTTGGTACAGGAAAGCACTCTGCCTTACCATTTTATCTCAACAGCAGAGATTCGATTTTGACAATGATTATAATGTAAACAGTTGATACTAGGCAACTCTAGGTAGATTTTTAAAAATTTATGGAGACATAATTCATATTCCATAAAAATAATCTGTTTTGGTTTTCAGTATGTTTGCTGACTTGTGCAACCATCACCACCATCTAATTTTAGAATATCTGTTTTACTCCAAAAATAAACCCTATGGCTACTGGCAGCCACTTCCTATTTTCCCCTTCCTCATCCCCTGCCAGCCATGAATCTGCTTTCTATCTCTATGAATTTGCCTAATCTAGACATTTTGTATAAATGAAATAAAACATTATGTGATCTTATTTCTATTTTGTTTTAGAGATGATGTCTCACTCTGTCACCCAGGCTGGAGTGCAGTGGTGTCATCATAGCTCACAGCAGCCTTGACCTCCTGCACTCAAGAGATCCTCCTACATCAGCCTCTTAAGTAGCTGAGCTGGCACTAAGGGTGCTCACCATCATGCCAGGCGGATTTTCATATTTTTAAATAGAGATGAGGTATTACTGTGTTGCTCAGGTTGGTCTAGAACTTCTGGCCTCAAGCAATCCTTGGCTTTCCGAAGTATCGGGATTACAGGTGTGAACCACCATGCCTGGCTGGCTTCCTTCAGTTAGTACAATGTTTTCAAGGTTCATTTATGTTATAGCATGTAACAGTTCTTCAGTCCTTTCTATGATTGAATAATATTTCATTGTATGGACATTTCACATTGTTTATCCACTCATCAGTTAATGGACATTCGAGTTCTCACTTTTTGTCTAGGAATAATGCTGCTAGGAACATTTGTTTACAAGCTTCTGTGTGGGCATACATTTTCAATTCCCTTGAATATATACATTACAGTGAAATTGCTCAGTCATGTGGTAACCCATTTAGCTTTTTCAGGAAGTGTCACTGTTTTCCAAAATGACTGCACCACTTTACATTCCACAAGATATGTATGCATGTTCCAATTTCTATGAATTCTTGTCAAACTTGTTATTGTCTCTTTTTAAAAATTTTAGTGTTCCTTGAAGAACAAAAGTTTTAAATGCTAATGAAGACCAGTTTGTCTTTTTTCCTTGGTTGTTAGTGCTTTGGTATTATATCTAGGAACCCACTACTGAAATCAAAGTCATCTAGGTTTAGAGTTGTGTTTTCTCATGAGAATTTTATAGTTTTAGCTTGTATATTTAGGTGCATGTTTCATTTTGAGTTAATTTTTATGATAAAAGGTAGAGGTCCAACTTCATTCTTTTGCATGTGGTTATTGAGTTATCCTGTCTTCAGTTGTTGAAAAATACTGTTATTTCCTAATTGAACTGTTTTGGCACCCTTGTTGAAAATCAGTTGGCCACAATGTAACGATTTTGTTTTGAACCCTAAATTCCATTTATCTCTGTGTCTAGTTTCATGATAGTACCATAGTCTTGACTACTGCAACTTTGTAGCAAGTACTGAAATCCAGAAGTGTGAGTCTTCCTATTTTGTTTATCCTTTTAAAGATAGATTTGGCTATTTTGAGTCAAATTTCTATATACATTTTAGAATAAGATTGTCAATTTCTGCAAAAAATTGCAGCTATGATTTTGATAGGAATTGTGTCAAATTTGTTGATCAGTTTGGGAGTACTGCTGTCTTAACTCAGACACATGGAATTTATTTCCATTTATATAGATCTTTAATTTCTTTCAATGATGTTTTATAGTCTTCAGTGTACAGGTCTTGAACTTATTTTGTTATATTTATTTCTAAGTATTTTATTCTTTTTAGCGTAGGTAGGTTTTTAAAAAGAACCAACAAGCATTAATTTCTTTAACTACAGGAAAGTCAGACCACCTTTAAACCAAAATGGCAAATTTAATCTATAAGATTGTGCCCCAACTGTCCTGTACTGAAAGTGTTAAAATACTAATTTACTATATAGTATTTCCTAGCCTTGCCTAATCATAAATTACCTGAGACACATGTTAAAAATACAAGCTTCCACCACTCTCAAGTTACTGACATTAATATAATCCATCATGCTTACTCAGGTTTCACAAGTTTTACTTTCAATCATTTGTGTGTGTGATTGTGTAGGACTTAAGTTAGGAAGAGCTACTGTAAGATACAGGCAGGACCAAAAAAATGGAAGATAGATTTCTGGCATATCTTTTTATGTAATATCTCCTATACATTTGTCAGAGATATTTGTTTTAACCTTTGTATTGTAGTCTTCATACACGAAAGTGCATTTTCCATAGATGTAAATTTCACTGAACACACCCATGAAATAAATAGTCCAGAACTCTCCTCTGTATTCCCTTCCAGCCACTACCTTTTCTTAGAAGAGCAACCACTATCCTGACTACTTGCAGTGTAGAATAGTTTTACTTTTTAAAAATTTCATGTAAATAGAATCATATAGTGTATATCCATTTGTGATAGCCTTTTCACTCTACGTTGTGACGTGCATTTCATCTATATTGGTGCATATTGCTGAATACTGTTTATTCTAGTTGATGTGTAACATTCTATTGTGTGACTATACTATGGCTTATTTATTCATTCTATTGTTGGTAGGCATTTAGGTAGTTTTCAATATGGGGCCATTGTTAACATTGCTGCTATGGATATTCTAGAATGTGTTTTTTGATGGACATATGTATGCGTTTCTGTTTGATGTACTCCTAGAAGAGAAATTGATAAATTGGATGGTATGTGTATTATATCATCCACTGTAAATGAAGTATAAAATAAATTTTAAAAAATAGGATCACAAATTTGGCATGAAGATTAGGATACAATGAAAAGTTCTGAAAGTGGGGATTAGTCTCAGATAATCTTCTGGAGGGCAGATGTGGCAGAGTTGGGATTTTGTTTGTTGTGAGACATAGAAGACAGAAAGAAGATGCCAGTGCTAAGTTTCCAATGTAACTTCACATATATTCAAGATGGCTTTTGGAGTATCAATAATGATCCAGAGGAAAGTCCAACAAAGAACTAAAGGAATATTTCAGAGTAGTGTTACTGAAATTTTAAAATAGATTGCAGTGATCTACTTAAATCTTACATTTTGACTTTATGCTTTGGGGTGGAGAAATAAGCCCCTTCATGATTCTGAGTTGAAATATATTTCAAATTCCATTCCCTTTTTCTAACAGTTCAGGCAGTAAATTAATTCACCTAAAATAGTAAGAGATGCCTAAAAAGAACTCTTCTTATTTTAGGGCCAGTAATAATTTATTTTCTTTAAATATATAATAGTTTAATAAATGGAATCAAACTTTGAAAGTATCTAAAGTCATTTCCAAATCAATAGCATTATGACCAGATTATTTAATCATATTTATAAGATTATAGTGAATTAAAAACCATCCAAATCATTTCCAAATATTATCAATGGCTCTGGCAAAAGAGCACTAGTATTTCAAAGGTAATAAGTTATTGAAATATTTTTAGAAGAATTGCATTCTGCCACCTTGATAAACTGCAAAATGTCTCTCAAAAGTAAACTTCTGGCCTTTTTCAGCTCAGTAATTATAACTGAAAATAGAAGCACATGGTGGTCTTTCATGTCACTACCCCACAGAGTAACAGATAAATGGAAATTCTTTTTTTGATTGAAATATTATGGCTTTAGTAAGATTTAACATGTATGACTTCATGATTCACATTGTGTTATTAAGGAAGGAGATATAAAACTTTTATGTCTGATTTTCCAATAGCATATTCCAGAAAACATCTCTTGAATAAAATTCAGCCTATTAAACTGTTAAAAGATACAAATTAGAAACTGAGATAAAGATAAAACTGCAAAAGCGTATATTGCCTAGCATCTCAATTTTATTTTCCAATGTCTGACAACATTCAATAATTGCCTGTCATGTTTATCTAGCACCATTAAAACCCTTAATGCTACTGGTGAACTGCTAGATAAGCATTCCTCTGCCTTCTCTGCTCAGATCATTTTTTAGGGCAATTAACACCAAACAACCGTG